GTATAACTTCCTGCCAATATGTTAATCTTGCGAAAACAAGATCAAACAACCACTAAAAGTATATTACATAAACAGGAAGTGAGCATTAATTTTCGTAGAGCCAAATGACCTTAGTAAACCTAAGAGTAAAATAAATTCCGAAGATGCATCTTGTCATATCAATAATTTCAGAACAAATGCTAAGCAAAGCAATTCTTGAAGAGTAATATTAAAAATGAATTGGCCCATAAAATCAAATAAGAGCTGAACAACCACTATTTAAATTGTAACTAATTCAGGGACCAAAATAAGGTGCATGATGTGGTTGCGGAAACAAGGTCAAACAACTTCGATTGATTTTTATATTTAAAAAATCTACTATTATAACACAGGCTATGATTCCTGGCAAGAAACAGTAACATTAGTATATGAATGATTCAGAGTCCTTAAAATTCACGTTAATATGGTCTCCAAAATAATAATTGTTAATGTTTCTGTATCTAGAACACTGGAAATTTTAGAAACATCTAGAGGAAAAAGAAATAATACGAAACGAAGCCAAATTATAAAATAACATAAGAAATCAACAATAATGAATAAATGCATTTGCAAAAGGATGAGTAGGCAAAAGCATATATGCATGAAATGAATAGGATCGAGGTCTTTTAAGAACATTACGTACAAAAGTATTGAGCGTGGCTTTGCGTTCTGGATGAATTCTGAGTTGAGAAGTTGAAGCGCCGATGGACGTGCTTCTGGAGCCTTTGCCAGACAAACGCTGATAAAATGACGGAAATCAGCGCTCCAGGTATTCGGTTTACGCAGTCCTGGTGGCGGCTGGCTGGGAATCATAAATAGGGCACGCATGGGGTGAATATCACCAAGGGGTGGCTTGCCATCTGCCATTTCTATCGCTGTGATACCCAGAGACCAGATATCAGCGGAGCAATTGTATCCAGTTTCTTGAATCACCTAGGCTCCCGAGTTGATGCAATAAAGAGTAAGTGGATCGTTAAGTTAATTAGTACGTTTCTCCATTTATTGAGGCTCATAAAATTTGGGGAAAAATAAACACATTAAAAGCGAGAAATGCATGGTTTTTTTTCAGCTTTAGCAAAAAAGATCCCTTGAATTTTCCACATTTTCAATTCGGTTGATGATAATTTTACTTAAAGAAAAGTAAAGTTTTAGCAATGTAAGGTAAAGGTTCTCCCAGTTTTGTCGGTACCGTATCCGATAAAGAAAGAGGCATGCCTCAATTTGCCTATAATTTTATACATTAGATCGTTTTTTTTCCTATTATCAATTAATAGGAGCTTTATGATAGAGATCATGATAAATTCAATTTAAACGTTGAGACCAACAAAACGTTTAATTCAATGGCATATAAGTGTATTCTCGTGCGTCACTGCCTTGCATGACGAAGTAATTTGAAAATCGTACTCGTTTTACCTCAACGATTTGTATTGGCTAACTGAACTTAAGCTGGTATACATCTAAAATGTGATTTCTGTTTAAACGAGCCACTTTAATGAATTAAATAAAATCCCCAAAATGTGCCATTATGTCGCAATACCAAATTTAGAGAGAAAAGTATGCTCATCCTTTACAGGAGTTCGATATTTGGCATACATGTCTGAAATATAATATAATGGAATAAAAACTTGATTAATAATGAGTCGAGTAAGGTGAAGTAAGTACTAGTTGGATACGCCACAATGAGTTGAGGATTCTCAAAGCATGATTAAATATGGCTGAGTTCCACTGGGTATATACGACTTTAAAGAAGGGCCAGAAGCCCCCCAGCCCACTTCTCAAATTGGATTATCGATTAGGCAAGGGCAGAAGACCATACTATATAATGAATGTTTCGAAGCTACCAGTAAATCTTGAATGCAAACCTGAATTATTCATACATCACGCGAGGTCTGGGACGATTTAAGTTGATAGTTTTGAAACATACTCACTCAGTATACAGATGCATATATATATATATGTGTGTATAAAAAATGCGTATATGTATAGAAGCTTAAAATTAGTTAATATGATGATTTACTTTTTAAGTGCCAAGTAAAAATATTATGTGCTAATAGTCGCAACACTTCATATGCTTATTGCTTGAAATAAATGAGCAAGTAGGATAAAGTTTACCAAATACAAAAATTTTCATTGTTACAAGGCGAG